TGTGGAAACATGGGGCACTGGAAATCAGAATGCCCCAAACGAGCATTTAGATGCTTCAAATGTCAAGTGGTTGGACATGTACAAACAGCATGTCCAAACATGGTCACTAAAGACCACCAAGGCCGAATTGTTACCCGAGTTCAGCCAAAGCCATCGGGAACAGAAATCAAGACGCGCGCTGACAGAACACAGAAGGACAAAGTCAGAACAGCAGAAAGCGTGCTATCACTGCTGAAAGACATCGCAGAACGTCGCAGTGAGAAGGCAAAGGAAAGGCGCACCAGAAAAAAGAAAGAATCTGGATTCAAGCCAAAGCGTCGCACAATTCCCCACCCAATCGAAAATGTGGACGATGAATCCTCAGAAACATCAGATGAGGATGACGAATCTTCGGACTCTGATCTGGAGTCAGTAATGAACGCTTTGGACACATTCCCCATAGAAGACAGCGAAGGTCGCCTACCAGCAACAAACGTCAAAGTCGAGGCAGTGATTAACAACGTACCCGTCATAGTTACTGCCGATTCGGGAGCCGCCAGATCAATCATCAGCCAAAGTCTAGCGCAGCAGCTAGGAATCAAGTTCACCAAAGTCGTCAGAGCGTTCCGGGGTCTTGGACGTGCCGAAGGAATTCTTTGCAAACCAGCAACAGTCGCCATCGGATCAGCAACGTTGCCAGTACAGTTTTTTCGCGGTCCAACAGGATGTTCCCACCTTGCTTGGCGCCAACACCCTCAGTCGCTTCAACGTGTTGGTCGATCCTAAGCGGAAATGCCTGGTCAAATGGAAGGAATTGGAAGTTATTGCTGCAATTGAAGCGGATGTGACGTCAATAAGGCGAGTCGATACACAGAAAGTCAACGTAGTGACTGGTATTGATGACAGTTTGGGGGAGAAAGAGCTGATAGAATCACACAAAACTATCTTCAACACACTCACAAGTCATCTTTCCTCAGACGTCAGCAATCGCCTCTGGAAAATCTTCACCCCGCTTCCATGAGGCGTGGCTCCGCCCACGAGTTGGACAAGTAAAGACCGGCCAAGCCACCTTTACAACGACGGCAAATCCCATCAAGCAAAAACTTCGTCCCCTAGCGAAGGAGCTTCGAGAAGAAGAAGACAAGCAACTCGATAAATTGTTAGCAGCTGGGGCTATACGCCCCTCCAAATCTCCATGGGGTTCATGTCCTGTTTTCACCAAAAAGCCTTCGGGAGAATGGAGGCTCTGTCTGGATTACCGGGGTCTTAACAAACGAATTGAGTCAGACGTGTACCCTTTGCCTCATCTGTGGGACAACCTTCAACTTGCCGCACACCACAACTATTACATCACAATTGATCTCAACAACGGCTTCTGGAACATTCCTGTCGCAGAGGAATCGAAGCCATTAACAGCAATAGTGACGCACAAAGGACAATTCGAGTGGAATGTCTTACCGTTTGGCATCAAAAACAGCCCGCCCGAATTTCAACGAGCCGTGGATCGAGCATTCGGAGAGCTGTACAGCGACGGTGTCCTCTCCTACATTGACGATATCGTAATATTCGGAAATTCCATTGATGAACTTCTCCGGAGATTCGAGCGGGTCTTGGAAAAATGTGTTGAGTTCGGATTCTTCGTCAAAATCCGTAAATGTGAACTCGTCAAGTCGGAGGTCCCGCTTTTAGGACATATCGTTGGCTCTCAAGGTATTCGTCCTAACCCCAGAAAAGTGGAAGCCGTGAAAGCCGCCAAGAAACCGGTTACAAAAAGTGAACTCTGCAGCTTTCTTGGCGCTGCAAGCTACTTGCGTCGATTCTCACCTCAGTTCTCGTCCATCGTCAGCCCTCTGAATGATCTCCTCAAGAAAAAGAGCGTGTGGAATTGGTCAGAAATCCACGATCAGGCGTTCGAGAGAATCAAAGAAGAACTGAGTGACTGTGTTCTTCTGTCAGCACCCCGTGGCAAAGGGTGTTTCATCATGGTCTGTGATGCCAGCAGCACGGGCGTTGGTGCAGCCCTGTTACAGAAACAAGAAGAGGACGTCATCATCATCGAATTCGCATCCAAGGGCCTCACTCCTGCTGAGCGAAAGTGGGATACGCGCGAACGAGAATGTTTCGCCATCCGATGGGCCGTAGAACGTTTCAGCGAATACATCAGAGCGGGCAAGTGCATCGTTCTCACCGATCATGAGTCGCTAAAATGGATGGACAAGGCAAAGAGTGGAAGGGTCCAACGATGGGCTCTCTACTTACAGCAGTACGACTTGGAGATCGTACACATCAGTGGCAGATGCAACCTAATCGCCGACTGGCTGAGTCGGAGCGTCGACGATCCAGACGCGGATCGTGATATCGAGGACATCGCGATTCCCGCTTTTCCCGCAACCACCGAGTTTCCGCTGTCGTCCCACACCAATGTTCCTCCTGTTCCTCAACCAGGTGACCTGAAGCGGCACTATGAGTTCATGACGGACGAAGAGAAGCAAGCCACCTACATCAGTAACGATGGCATCCGTTACTCCATCAGGACAAACAGGTTGTTTGTGCCTGAGCCACTTCGCGAGGTGTTCACCTTCTGGTTCCATGCAAGCCGATTTGGCGGACATCTCGGCGTTCAACGGACGATCCGGAGGATGCAGAAATGGGTTTGGTGGAAAGGTCTTGCTCAATATGTACGCAGCTACATTTCCAACTGTTTGATATGTCTTCGTCACCACCAACTTCCCAAGCTTTCAACGTTGCATCAGGTTTTATCTCATCCCATACCCCTTCAACTGATCTCACTGGATCACGTCGGCCATCGTCTCGTTCAGGGACAAAAGTTCTGGTACTTGGTGATAATTGATCACGCAACTCGTTTCGTTGCAGCAGAGGTGACGCAGTCCGCGCCCACTACAGCATCCGTTGTCCAGGCGCTGAAGAAAATCTGGGTTCGCATCTTCCGAGAACCCTCCACTGTTTTGGTTGATCGGGGGTCTTGCTTCACCAGCCGAGAATTCCAAAAGTTTGTCATTGAAGATTTGGGGGCCTATTTGGTCAAAGCGTCGACCTCTTATCCACAAGGGAATGGGGTGAACGAAGCATGCCATCGCGCGATTGAGATGTCCATTGCATCGGCGTTGGATGCAGGGGCGCCTTCATTTGAGCAGGCTTTGGAGGATGCTGTTGCAGTCCACAACTCCACACCCCATCAAGCAACTTCACAATCCCCCTTCTTCCTTCTATTTGGGTTCGAACCACCGTTTCCGGGGTGGCAGGCTTATCGAAGCCAACAACCCATCACTCTTCTGCGCCGCGAGGCCAGATTGAAGGCCATCTATCAGAAGCAGCTGATAGACACTCGTGCACAGGTGGAGAAGGTCCACAATGTCCAGGTTGGAGATTGGATTGTTCACTTTCTTGGAGAATCAGCTCGAAGCAAGCCCAGTCTCAACCCCACCAACACCGCATCAAAATATTCCTCGTCATGGTCACTTCCTGCCAAAGTCCTGGAGGTCAGGGACAAGACGGTCATTTGTCAGCCTTGGGATCAACGAGTTCCTCAGCGAACTGTTCCACTTGCTCACGTTCGGGTTTTAGAAGGAAGCGTTCCTCCTTCTCTCCAGCGGTTGAATCTTGAATTGTTGCACAAGATTTCCCCATCTCATGTCCGATTTCCATCACAAGTTCCAACTGGTCCGTCACGTTCTTGGGATGATCTGCTTGACTCATATCAGCCGCATGCGACTCAAACTCCAGTCGCGTCGCCTGCTGATGAATCCAAGCGATTCGTCACTCCGTCACCGCAGCCGCTACAACGTTTGGAGGATGATTGGAACAATAAATTGACAGTAGGAACCGTTCTCGCGCCTGCTAAAAGTGTCTAGTCGCGTAGGTCGACTCCGCTGTGCGACTTGTGTGTTAGCCTGCTCTACTGTGTTTTGTCGTCTGTTGATCTGTTTCCTCACCCAAGTTTTCTGTTCCATGGGTCGTCCGAAAATCTGTCTGAATGTTTTTCCTCACCTGTTAACAAACCCCTCGTGAACCTTAACAAAATGAACAGTGACACCGCCGTTCCCCAACCCGAACCAAGGCAGCGAAGCCTGCCTTTAACGGACCAGGTGGTGAGGTTGTGACATGAGCATGGTATGCCAACGATACTTGAATGTCGGTTTCAACGGCCTAATCAGCTCAGCAATTTGCAAACAAGAAAAAACCATAAGAGAAGCCATGGCTGATAGAATATCCAAAACGACAACTGTTGGAATCAAGCTTAAACAGCTTTAAGTGCTTTGTTCTTCTCATATAAAATCTTCCTCCCAAGATTTGTGCTCTGGACAGTTTCATTACAGAAGTGGCATGCGAACAAGAGCTGATTTCTTGGAGTGACCATGTAGGCGAATCTCATAAAGAGCAATGAATAAACGCACAACACTCCAGTCATCTTTTCACTAATGAACTCTGGACTTTTCTTCATGTCTGATATTCCAGCTAGAACGAAACCCCAATTGGCAACTGGGCCCTGAAATCAAAGAAACAATAACTGCGACAAACAGCTTGATTTAGTCCACAAATCACTGTCGCAAGTATTTGCCTACCCAAAAATGAACGGTTCGAGGGCCCAGTGGATGATCTGAGGGGAAAGAGTCGCGCGGTTCATTTCCGCATCTCTTACCTAAAAACGCTCTAGCGCGTTGGAATAAACCAGACATTTCCTTGATTCAGACTGCGGACGCCAGTAGGCACACCCACGGGAGTCCTGTTTGAAAATGGCTGATCGAAAGGTTCTCGTCAAGTATTATCCTCCCGACTTTGACCCGGAGAAGCTTCGGGAGAAGAGTCGGCAATATAGACATGTGCTCCAGAAGAAGAAAAAGACTCCGGGGGGGGTGAAGCAGATGAATGTGCGCTTCATGTTTCCCTTCACCTTGTGTTGTTCAACTTGCGGCGAATTTGTTTACATTGGAACGAAATTCAACAGCCGCTGCGAGAGAGTGGTTGGAGAAGACTATCTGGGAATCGCAATATGGAGATTTATGGGCGCTGTCCGCATTGCCGTGCCGAGATCGCATTCAAAACGGATCCCAAGAATGCGGAATACGTTTTGGAATTCGGGAGGAACACGAACGTACGACCCAAGACGGGATGCAGAGATTGCAGGTTTGGAATGTTCAGGAATCTCGTTCTGAGTTGTCCTTCTTTTGTGTTCAGCAACTGTCCTTAAGGATCAGCTAGAGGAGGAAATTGCGACAGATTCCATGCGGGCATTAGAGCATAAAACATACAGCACGGCAAATGAACTGATGGCTCTTGAGCAACTGGATGAGCTGCGAAAAATCAACAAAAGGTTGCTAAATCGGGAATCAACAGTGGACGACGCTCTTCAATGGATTAAGCAAGGAGGGCTACCGAAGCAAGAAGAGGAAAAAGTAGAAGGTGAGATTCAAGGGTTGTTTTCAGATATTTGAAATCATTCAATTAAATAGTGTTTAATTAAATAATGTCGTTTGCCTTTTCTGCAGAGCTAGAAGGTGAAGATTTGGAAGATTTTGAAAAAGCTCGTGAAGAGATTAGTCAACGTCAATTAAATTCAACGTTGGGTCATAGTAGTAGTGGTGGGGAGGACAGCGATCATGCTGCTGGATATCGCACCGCACAATTGAACGAAAGAGACAACTTGATTAAAGAAGAATCTTCTTCGTCTTCTAGCAGCTTGATTGCTTCTTCTAAAGTTTCACTCATCGTTAAGAAGCGATGCAGACCAATGAATGAAGTGGATTCTTCAAAGCGATCGAAAGTTGAATTGTGCAAAGTCAGTGAAGCCCCTGCTGGGTCGTCATTGCTAGGGGTGTACGATTCGGATTCCGGTGGTTGATGTACTTACCAAAATCTCTTTTTTTTCACACAAAAAATTGTCATCAAAGAATACAAGTCACAAGAAAACAGTATTGGAAAATTAACTCCTTCTATTCGAGGGTGAATAATTGGAGCAGTTTGTTCCCACATTGCGCGAAGAACTGGAAGAAGACTGAGCTTGTTGACACCTTGTACGGCGTTGGGTTGACGGGCCTGAGAATGTCTTTTCTAAACAGCTGAAGCTGAGCGATGCAGCGAGCTCGGGTATCCTGAAATAGAAATGGGAACACAGAAAATATGGATGGGATAGTAAATATGGATGGGATAGTAAATAGAGATAGCAAATAGAGAGGGGACAGTATTGAAACACAATCGGGTAGGAGAGTCGCGAACCTCCAGATTTTCTTTAAACTTGCAGACGCCCTTGTCCCAAAACAAAATCAACAAATCTTCAACCACTTGGGGCACAACATAGAAACGCTTATTCGAATCGAATGGATGGCAACAAAAGAATCGAATACCAGGTTGAGGTTTTGGCTCTTCATAACCCTGGAGACAACCATACAAAATTGTGTCCCAATTCGATCAACTTACTAATAACAAATCGACAACAGGTTCCCCTGATTTCGTGTAAAGACGATAAACACTTTTTCTTGCTGGAATTGACGTTTTGCCGATTTCTTGGGACAACTTCATCGTTGGCCTTCCGTTAATTTCTGCCAATTTATAGACCATCCCTAAGGCGGGTTGAGCTTGGCAGGTGACGAGATTGGTCCCAATTCCGAAGGTATCAATCTCGTGTTTCTTGGAAAAGAAGGAAATGAAATAAAAGAGTTCTATTCCTCTGTCACGAGCTACTTGATCATTCAAAGCCATTAGAACGTGTTCATTGATATCATTGGATGCAACAATCTTCAATTCCGTGAACGCGCATTCAAACTGAAACGAAGACAAAAATTCGGAAATAATTCTCAAAAATACTTTTTTACACGAAGGGAGACGTCCTTGAAGATTTCTCGGGATTTTCTGGTTGGGAAGAACGCAATTTTAAACTATGGAAACAACAACATACTGAGATAAATACGCAAGGTCCCCAGAATCGAGACGAATCCAACAGGAGCAAGTCCGAGACTATTGAGAGCCAGAGCAACAGCTAAGAAATTAGGAACGCCTGAGTGATAAGAAATTCAATCAGTCAACCATCAGACGGACAACGCACCACACGACAGCGTTTCGTACGTATCGACGAGGCACAAAAATTGTGTGGGAAAAGCCTGGGCATAAGCAATGAAGGCTGTGAGTTCCCCCTCATTCATTAATCCATCTGGTCTAAATTGTGAATAAGCCGCACGAAGTTGATCACGATATGAGAGAACGACTGAAACGAAGTCTTCGCAATGAACTCCAAGGGAGGGACACTCAAGATTTTTTGACTTCAAATCATCGAGACCTTGAAAATAGAAGATAGAGCGACCTGATCACTGCTTCAGTGAATAAGGAAATAACTGAGCGGTAGATGAATAGATGCAATAGATGGAATGTAGACGAGGAAGACCACACTTTATCTTATGCGTGGCAATCAGCGATGGGTCAGGATGGTTTACATGAGACGCACTCTTAAATGAAGTGACAAAGGCGTGGGCATGCGTCCCCTTGATAGGGATGCCGAATAAGTGGCCAGCTCTCGAATTTGAGGTGCCATCAAAACCGCCAAGATAAGAGTAACGTGAGGCGCTCATCGCCCCATCAGGACCTTGTGCCCGACGAGCTCCGAATTCGAGGAGCTCCTTATTCCATCCAGCTACGAGTCGATGCCTGCAGAATCAGGAACATCGAGTTGAATTGTCGCAGCGCGCTACTCTTACCTTGCAGCATTCGTAGCGATGAGTGTGGGATAATTAAGAAGATTCAGCATCGGAGTCTCAATAAGCTGAGCGACGCCTAACGGGCCTTCAACACGGACAAGAGGAACATTCGGGAAGACCAAGGAACCTTCCTTAAATGCGTGAACTGTTAAACAGGATCCATTAATTTGCGTCAAATAATCAAAAATTCAGCGTCGCACTCTGTGAGAACTGTTCTGCAGAAAAGTCTTATGCACATCTTGGAAGGGATCAACGGGAGGATCAATCCGTGCTACATGCAGCTTTGCGAGACACTTTTGAAGTTCTCCGACTTGAACATTTGAACTCCTCCGCTATTTTCTATTTATGATGATCGTACCGTAAATATGCAATTTGGGAAGGAGTAAAACGGAGAGTGTTTGGATAAAACGAATCGCCTCATTGATCCCAGCAAATACCGCATATTCACCTTTGAAAGGGCAGCGACGGAAATAGATATCGAATACAGCGTGATCCATATGCTTGCCCGCCTTCCAATAGGCATACATCATGGTCAGCTGATAAAAAATCTGTGAAAATTGCCTAAAAAGAACAAAATGAGCTGCATGTTATTATCCACTCACTTGGGCGTCATTGCTACAAGGAAATCCAGCTGACGGATCCGTCTGGGTGGAACTCAGCTCTTTTCGATCAGCAGTGAGCGGTGAGCCACAACCCCCATATCAAAAGACGTAGAACTCCCGAGCCGATAGCGTGCTGTCATCTCCTGCAGGCAAAGAGGATAACTACCAGAACACAAAGTGATCACTTAATGGTGTGCGTAGTTGGCCTGAATGAGAAATAAAAACTTCGTTCTGCCCTAAATTTTATCAGTCCATTTTTTAGCTGTTTTTCTCATCAAGGCGGCAAATCTTTTTTTTTGGTTCAGAACTCTATTTCCAGGAGACTTTACAAAAACCATTCAGCTCAGAGTCGAGTTTTCTCAATTGAGAGATTATTCGCGTCAACAAAATTAATTCGCTCTCCCTTGGAATTCGCGACAATCCCTATGTGTTCATACATGTGGTAGGAGATGATATTTTGTAAATCTTGTGGAAGGGTTGAGGACTGGAGCCAACTGTTGAATGCTGTGTAAGAGCCCTGGTGGGTCAACATCACTGGTATTATCATTTGATCTTCTCAAAAAAAGACTTCTATCGGGGGGGCATAAGTAGAATCTCATCATGGAAGCGACAAGCTCCCAGACCCTTCCAAAAAACTCCTACAAGCATAAAGTCAAAAAGATAGTTTGAAGTGTCTTCACTCGAACCTCGAACACATCAATGATAATTGAGATAGTTCCCAAACAAAGAGGGAGTTTCGGATCCCCATGAATGTCCTTTAGATGTCCCAAAGGGAGGGATCCACCATTACGGAACGCAGCGTATACGTTTTGTAGAGAGGCGTCTGACTCCCCAAGCAGCCAATCGGTGAATTGTGGATTCGTCCCAAGATGATCTGCGGGCTACTGAGGGAGTTGGCGGTGTGAGGGAATCCTGCTTAAACTGGCAAGGACTACTATTGAAGAGCTTTGTATAGGATGCCATTGTATCGTGGAGGAATGATACAACAGAGCGACTCAAAGCAAGTTCAGGTCTCGGAAGCTCGAGGATACCCGAAAAGAGGTTCCAATTCGGAGTAAAGGGTTTTTGTCAAACTTGAAAGAAGGCTGAACTCAACGGAGCAGGCGTCGTTTGATTGAAGAAGTGATTTACGAAGTTGTTTTGCCACACTGAAACGTCCAAACAATAAGGAACTGAACTCTAATGTTTAGAGAAGGCCGGAACATCTGCTGAGGTCTTAATAGAAGAAGTTTTACGTGGCAAAGGACCACTTGGGAGAATTTTGGCGAGCATGACGGGTTTTGTGTTCACCAAGCGACGCATTTCAGGAGGAGGATCATTAGCGATGGAGCTATGAGAGGATCATCTGAGCCTTGAGGGGTTTGGGACAGAGGAGTTTGGGACAGAGGAGTTTGGGACAGAGGAGGTTCAGATCGTAGAATCACTAGAGGGGAGTCAATGATGTCGGAAAAAACGGAATCGGGATGGCATTGTGTTTGGAGTGGGGAGTGGATGTCGAGTCATCGGATCCCACAGAATCCTTTGTTAAAACGAACGATGGAAGGATTCTTGGGATCTTGCATTGGACCGTAAAATCTGACAGAAGGGTCAAATACGCCAGAGAGATCTACAGGTCGATCAAACTCGGTATTCAACGAGCACTCCATGTTTTGCAATCTCAACTTTTGAGGAAGAAGAAGAGGGCTCGATGACGCCGTATGAGGCCTACAACTGGCAAAAGACACTTCGAATGGGTCGCTTTGCAATTGGAGAGAGAGAAGGAGGAGTTGCAGTGGGTGGAGACTTTGGAACTTCATCAAGTTCTGCGGCCGAGATGAACGACGGTGCATCGAAGTCTACAGGAGAGTGACTTCCAATTCTTGCCGAGCAGCTTGGAGGAGTTCGGAGTTCCGGCAGGTTGAGTTTCGAGGGTTTTGTCGGACGGCGGAGAAGGAACGCTAATAGGATTTCGGAATTTTAGGCGCTTGACTGTGTTTGACGCGTTTAGCGTCCCCTGATGACCTCAGATTTGTACTTTTGCGCTTCCTTAGGTTGTACTGCTGCCCTCGGGTCCAACTCAGCCTCTGACAATGGTTCACTTTTGTTTCACATTTGGGGACTTTTGTGGCGGTTTCACTGGTTATTGGCGTCGACATCTCAAACGTAAGGGGTCCCTATGAACAACAATTGATTGAAAGCAGTTGACGAGTTGAGGGAAAAAACAAATTTTGGTAAACCAAAAAAACACAATAAAAATTGGACAGTTAATCAACGATAGAACCATTTTGTACAGCATAGCGCTTGGCGTCTAAGGCGAGTCGATAAATTGGCCGCCACTCCACGATAAGATGATGATGACGAAGACGTGTAAAGGGAAGGGATCGAATCTGAGTCATCTGAATGAGTCGAACTCAGCCAGGGGTCGAACTTCCTTGGCCAACTGGTTGTCTTGCTTGAATGATGTTTGACCGGCTTGTGCAGCACTGATGCTTCGAACCACGAGGCCTGGAGTGTCTGGTGCCCCTAATTCGGATGAATCGGAGATTTCACTCGCAAAAGGAATTCCGGTGGTAGTTTTGTTGAGATACGGACAAGAGACTTTTTGGTCTCTGAATCAAGGCTTTCGTGCGTTGAAAGAGAAGAAAGACGTCGAGAGTCGAAACTTTCCTGCTTGCCAAGCTTCTTCAAGTCGTTTTGTTGCCTTCGGTTTTTTCCTTCTTCAATGTCTTTTCAACCCCTCCATGCCACTGTTTTGCCTTCACGCCAACCGCTTCAATTTTGGACAAGCTACAGACGACTCTTGCGTCGCATCAATCAACGTCGTGACTTCTTGAACCATTTCGTCACACTTCTTTCGAAACTTCTCCGACAATCCGTCAGCCGGAACAGCGATCTCGACAAATCGAGAATCGGATACTTTACCTAAAAACCAACAATTTCTTTACAAGTATCAATTGGAGGGCAAGTGTTGTCCGACAGAATTTTAATGTCAACTTACTTTCTGATGCGTTGTGACAATTTTAGGAAGTCTGACTTCGAGAACACCGCGTGCTTCAAGCGGAACAGGAACAAGACGTGGGATTTCCTTATTTACTTTAACTGTTCGGACTTCTGGAACTGGTTTGTCGATAAACTGATCCACTGGTTTCTGCATGACGTAAGCGCGACAAATGGGGGTCAACTGGATGGCTACGAGGTATTACTAGACCATAGAGCAAGACAAGCTTATTATGTGCCATAAATAGTGACAAATAAGGGCACCCCAATGGATGATAGAACACACCAGGCACCACTAGACTAGCGCTTATCGAGTGTCATCATTCATTCAGTTGCCACGTCTGTTATCGATTCGTTCTGGGACTTCCATCGCGTACCTCTTTCAATGAAAGTTCTTCTCGGATTTCTTTCACTGGAATTTCCTTAACAATATCTTTGAATTCAACTTCGAACTCGGGAATCTCAACAGAAACTTCTTCAACAACATCTCGAAAGACTTGGTGGACGCATTCATGGACATGTTCAACTTCCTTCGTTTCGATTTCACCAGGAATCTGAACAACAAATTCCTTCACCGTTTCGATGATTTGATCAGGCTCCTGTATTCGATTTCTTGAGTGTTTCGCATTTGAAGAGGAATTCCAACGATTGATGGATTTGAAGGTTGATTCTGCATTAATGGGAATGGCGCCAACTGGGGTGCTCCGAAGCTCAGTTGTCGTGGCATGATTATCGGAGCGGTTTGATGATGAGGTGGAGGGGGCAACTCGTATCGCCAATAGTTCCGTTGCTTTCTGGTTTTCGGTTCACTTCGTATGTTCCGCAATTCTCAATTGATCCCGGAACACTCGGCGCGTATCCGACCGAATCGGTTTCGCACGTTGAAAAGCGAGGCATTGATGCTTCGCGCTTCCGGTGGGCGTTCGAATGCTGTTTGGCTCTGTGAACAGAACGCATCTCCTTGTGGATGTTTCCAAAAAACTCGGTTTCTGTCCCCACATCACTGGGAAGTCCTGAATTGCAGCTAACATCTCGCTTGGGAATCGCGCAACAACCTGGGTTTTCTCGTTGAGTCACCATTTCAAGAAGTGGGCGTGTATGGCATGCGACCAGATGACTAGTAGGCATAAGTTGGTCTCCACAGGAAAACACGTAAAAAAAAGAAGATGGATTAGCAGCAGAACATTTTGCACCAGGACACCTTTGTCTTTGGCGTGATCATGTCCCATTCATGAATGGTTTCGCCTGTGGATCCTTGTTCGTCCTCGTTCCCTCCGTAGGGTTCATGCCGTGGTATTTCAGGTTTTAAAATTCTGGGAGGGGGGGTGATTGGGAAACGAGGTGTGTGTGTTGCTATTCCCGCAAAGGACCTCTGAACAGGTTGACTGAAAGAAGGTTGGGTGGTATGTGGAAAGGGAAGTGCTTCTGACATTTGGGTCAGAAGACGCAAAGAAGATGTCAAATTGTTGTAAATATATTTTATTTCAATTTTTGCCTGTAAAAGCATGCTACTCATACTGTGTGAAAAAGAATTAAAAAGAAAGACGTGAACGGCAAGCACTGAACCTATGAGCAATCTGACAAAAGTTGTAGTTGAAAGAGTGTGGGAAGATCTTTGTCACCACGTCCCGAGATCGTCACCTGACGACAAAACAGCAACGCCCATGGGGCCGCCAATCAATTCAGTTTAATTCTCAGATGAACCACAACCACGTCACCAAGTCTGTTCCTGGATATTTCAACGTCACCCTTACCAACACAATTTGATCATAAGGAAGTTTAGAAGCCTCACGAATAACCCAAGCGAGAGCATGGGCAGATTCTAAAGCCTATCAAAAATCAAGATCATGTGAAGAATTCAATGAAATTTGGAATTCTTGCCGCAATAATGCCTTCCGTTCTTGCTGTCATCATCAGCGCATTGACGGCCTCCTTGTCGGACGCCCATGTGAACTCAGCACGCCGAGTTTCCTTGAGATGAGCGAGTTCAGGACCAACTCCTGAAAATGGGATTCATCCGTCCCTCTTAATAAGTTGATAACTCTTTCTCAGTTTTTTCATAATCATCTGCTCACCAGGATAATCAAGTCCGGCTGAGATCGATGAGGTTTCTAGGATTTGTCCACTCGGTGCCTGAATGAGAAACGTTTGAGTTCCATGAAACACACCCGGCGTCCCTAGAACCAGAAACAGAGATACACGGAGATCTGATCAAGCATCAACAAACCCTTAGAAAGTGTCGCGGAATGTTGAGCAACCAGGGGGGGCTCTTCGATAACTTGCTTTGATGATCCTCGTGCAAACGTTGATTTGACTTTCACTGATCGTCTTGTTGTGTCTGCTGAGCTTAGAGATTCCTGGCTCTCATTTGATAACTCCATTCCACCACCCTCAACCCCAACCAGTCGGACAGTCTCATCCTCAACGAAGGCAGAGAATGTCCCAATTGCATTGGAACCACCTCCAACACATGCAACAACAACGTCTGGTAACTTTCCGGGTCCAGCAGAATCCTCATATGGGGACTCTTTCAACATTTGGGCTCTGGATTCAGTTCCAATGACCGATTGGAAATATTTAACGATCTTCGGGAATGGATCAGGACCAATAGCGGAGCCAATCAAGTAATGCGTTGTGGAAACGTTAGCCACCCAGTCACGCAAGGCCTCACTCACGGCGTCCTTCAGTGTTCTCGATCCGGATGTCACTGCCACAACCTCCGCTCCTAAGATTCGCATCTTAAAAACGTTTAATTCCTGTCGCTTCATGTCAACTTCTCCCATATAGACAATGCACTGAAGATCCAATAGAGCACAGGCAGTTGCCGTCGCAACTCCATGCTGTCCCGCCCCGGTCTCAGCAATGATGCGACGTTTTCCCAATCTTTTCGCAAGAAGAGCTTGTCCTATTGCGTTGTTGATCTGGAAACACAATTACAAATACAATTAGGAGTTCAAAATGAGGAAGCCATATTGAGGTTCATGTAAAAACCGAACGGAGCCAGAATAATCTCACCTTGTGTGCCCCTGTGAATCCCATCTCCTCCCGTTTAAAGAATATTGAGCCCCTTTGAGCTTTTCTGTTAAGCGCCGTGCAAAATGAATTGGAGTCGGACCTCCAATATAATTGCGTCTCAAGGAAGCGACTTCCTTTATAAATTCTGGATCCTGAAAGGAAGAATTTGCAAGTCGAAAACGAAGAAGCATACTTTAAGCGCTAAAGAAAATTCATGAGCGAGCATTTCATGGGCCTTCATCAAGGATTCAGGGATAAATCTTCCTCCAAATGTTCCGAAAAACCATCCATCACGATCAGATCCACTGTCGACAACTGCATACTCAGAGACGACTTCTGCATTTTCAATCATGCGGAATGTTGGAGACTGGCGACATAAAGATTTTCGAAAAGTGGAACAGAACTCGGATATGGCGGCGCAGACAACCTATCAAAGAATAGTAATCAAAGAATAGTAATCAAAGAATAGTAATCAAAGAATAGCAATCAAAGAATAGCAATCAAAGAATAGTAATCATCACGACAGCCTCACTTCTGTAGAAATCCTTGGTGATGGCTTGGGTATAGAGTCATCGACGAAAGTTTTCTTAATCAAGTGCGCAAGTCTTCTCTTAAGTCCTGAACATCATTATATATATGGATGACTGTTAAATATCTTTTGATTTACCAGAATGACCATCGAGATTAGAACAAGCTGCTGATATATGGTTGATCAAAGCAGACCCAACAACGAACCCAGCAACACCCTCCAGAAGACCAAGAGCTTCAACGTGTTCAGCGCTGGAAGATAACATGAAAACATGTGAGGGATCCTACTGAGGGATCCAACCTCGAGATTCCGAATCCAGCGATGAGTGGAGGAGCAGAGAATCCACTCGTCGATGCCGACAACCGCTCTGATGCTGCTTTAACAGAAAGGAGGATTTCTGATAGATTTTCGGTGGCTCTTGCTTTCCAGTCCTCGATTGATTGAGTGCCCGTTACTCCACACAAACTGACGCAGTAGACAAACGCGTTCGCACATTCGATTATTCTGAGTGTACGAGTGAACGGTGTTGTAGGAGCGATCTGTAGTGAATAATCGACGTGGTGATCGAACATCAAGACAACCAACCAGTGGAATGTATCCCAAATGAAATCGATTACAAAGATCAACAAAGCTTGGAAGTTGGCCTTCCTTGTGACTCTAAAAAAGGAGTGATTCGGAAAGTTTTGATCAAAATTGATTGACCTTGAATGCAAATCCTGGCAATGGACTTATCGCCTCATCGAATGGAAGGTCGACAACGAGAAATCCATCGACGCCGCATTCAACAGCTTGACGGCATGCGTTTTCCACACCATAGGACAAAACGGGATTCCAGTACGTCATAAAAATCACCTGAGTACCCAAATCACAACATGAAGTTGAGTATAAAATGAGTTTTACTCAATGCATGAAAGTTCAGCGACGTACACCTGCATCAAGACCAGCGCTTCTCGCCTCCTTCACTGAAGCAAATGCCGTTTCAAGAGAACCACCTTGTTTCAGAGCGTGGGAACTCGCAATTTGAATAGTTAAGCCATCTGGGATGGAATTAGACAATGAGCCCAAAAATGGAATTCTTTACGAAATTCACAAGATGGAATGAGTGAAGAACAAGGAAAACTCACCAGCGACGGGATCTGAAAATGGGATCCCAACCTCGATAATGTCCGATCCAGACTTCTCGAGAGTTCGCAATATTTGCGCGAACGAATCTAAATTAGGAAATCCGACAGGGATGTAAGTCAGGAAAGCTAGTCGCTGCTCGTCGGAAGCCCTTCGAAATTTCTGTACCAGCCGTTGAGCTCCATATGTTTTGATGTCTGATTCACCCTCCATTGTTGCTATTGTCTTGACGTCTGGTTCACCTTCCATTGTTGCTATTGTCTGGACGTCTGGTTCACCTTCCATTGTTGCTGTTGTCTTGACGTCTGGTTCACCTTCCATTGTTGCTCTTGTCTTGACGTCTGGTTCACCTTCCATTGTTGTAATTGCCTTCATATCTGGTTCACCTTCCATTGTTGCTACTGTCTTGACGTCTGGTTCACCTTCCATTGTTGCTATTGTCTTGACGTCTGGTTCACCTTCCATTGTTGCTATTGTCTGGACGACTGGTTCACCTTCCATTGTTGCTCTTGTCTTGACGTCTGGTTCACCTTCCATTGTTGTAATTGCCTTCATATCTGGTTCAATTGTTGTCGTTTTTGCAGGGGCGTCCCTGTCTCTCAGTCAGCGCAGGTTTAATACACGGCATGTTGTGACGGTTGTTTTGCACGGAAAAGCAATAAATTCTAATAACCAGCAAGAAGTTTTGAATTCGCCACAACGACTTGATCTGGAATTCAATTCTATAACGAGTTGATACAAATCTCGCTCTTACCCAAAGCGTCTAAAAATCTTGGAGTTGCAATTGAATCAACGAAAAATGGATTCGATATCGCATCAGCATACAACCGATGAAGAAGTCGAAACAACTGCGAAGGAGAGCGAAGTCACCGATAAAGACAGCGATGCTAGAAGCGGTACAACAATTGATAAATACCGAAACGAGCTTCCACTCAATTTCGATTGACCGGATAAAAGGAACTAACAATTCCAGTTCAACCGATGCATAGGTTACTCACAGCTCTCAAATCTGGATCAGAATAACTCGTTATTTCTTCCAGGACCGCTACAATCTTCAAACTGCTAGATGAAATATACCCATATAGAGCCAAATCGGCTGGAAGAGGGATTTGGGACAGACCCAGTTGAGGAAGTTTCGTCGGGCTTTCCTCTGTTTCGTGTTGGGGATGCTGAGTTATCCCACTCCATGTTGCTAGTCCAACTGCACTTGATCCTCCTAATGCTGGTCCCAAGTATCCCAAGTAAGGATCTGCAGCTGTAATGGGCGTTGCATTCTGAAGTGCAGCATCAGCGGCCTGTGCTTCTTGCTGTGAGACTAAAAGACAATAGAGTGCGAAATTGCTATTCCATCGACCCACCGATTGAATCGATCATATCGAGAGCTCCATAAACTGCAGTTTGGAGTGACTGTTCACTCTCAGCGCCATAACAACGAAAACAAAGGGGCTGATTCTAAAGCAATAGAACTCCAGTATACCCGAAATCTGTGAATTCTTACCAATTTTCCAATAAAACAGACACAATGAATCACCATAGTGTTAAAAATAGGAGCAGCACCATCAGGCACCTGTCTGAGTTCTCAGTAAAATGAATGATAGGAAGGTGCTAGGATTTGTGAAGGGGGGGTATTGTCGACACGCGGGGGTCCTCGCGGACTCCTTGGAGGGGAATGGCGAGTATTGTCAGATGCGCCCGGCTATTGCATCACAGTAAATCTGCATTATAGTAAATCTGCATTCGGTTATAATGCCAGTGGATTCTAGCCAAGAAGGTTAACAGTTGGTGTGCCTATCACTCGATACATTCAGCTTCGGCGAACTTTTCGTCGTCGTTCCTACAAACAAAACATGACTCTCTTAAAGCATTTTTATTGATCCTACCCCCGTGTCTTCTGGTTTCTCAAGCCCCAAAGCTCGACGTTTTGCTTTTTCCGTTTCTTCGATATTTTTCAATTTCGCGCTGAACAGAATTCGCGATGGCAATGATGGCAAGAGGGAGCTCACTCGATTGATATTGGAACTTCTGACAAACCAGCAGACCAAACAACCTTGTCTCTTTCAATTTCTGCAATATCTTCCACCTGAGAAATGACTTCTAAGTGGCCAGCATTCATCAATCTAACTCGACCTGTAAGTGAGCCGGTATTTCATAAAGCTTCTTCTCAAGCTCCACCTCGATGGATGGCAGCTCTGTTTCTTGCGGTTCGCTAAGACTCGCAAGCTGCGAGGACAAGAAACACTCTCTGCAATGGGATCGCAACAGAGCTTTCAGGGATCAGAAAATTTTGAACAACTCATCGCTTCAATGTGACAAACTCACTTACAAATGCTTATCGATGGATGGCCGCGTTTCTGTCGAATCTCCTTGTTGCCTAAAAGCTTTGTCTAGCAAACCAAGCGCCAACTGGTGGTCGTCTTGTTGTGGGGCGCTAGCTTGTGGCTGTTTTGTTCGATGGGGGAGGCCTTTAAGATCCAGAAGCTCTGAGTCAATAGAAGCTGATGTTAAGCCCCTTCACTCTCTGGCGCAGTCGATTCCTCTTTTTTGTTTCTTGTATTCGATGCAACGCATCATCCTCTTCTCCGTCAACTTTTGATTGTCCAGCTTCAGATTTCAAAACTAGTCTTCGTGTTCCAACAGCTTGACGCTTCTTAAACATTTGTGTCACGGCCACTGCAGGATCAGATCATTCACCTGTCAATGCTAGCTAGCGATTGAAACGTCGTTGTCACTGGGTTGAACTCCCTGCCCTTTCTGTATTTCCATAGTATTTTTATATCTCACCTACATGTCCGCCTTGCATGTCTTTATTCAGCGCCTGCCGTGCCTGTTCTTTTGCTTGCTCTTTTTCTTGGACTAACCCCCTTTCCAGCCCTTTGTCGGTTTTCCCGAGCCGAACCTATCAGCAATCTGATCCCCCCTATTTTTCGGCTCTCAGCATGTCATTCTTTGCTGGGAATACCTCCCTCCTGCTGGCGTGCATTCCGCTCTTGTCATGGGGACTATATCACCTCATGACACATGTACTGGATTTGACAGGGAAGTTTCTGAAATCCCTAACTAAATGTTTAGTGTGGTGGCTTGCGGTCTGCGGCCCGCCGGGCTACGTGCTGTATCGCTTGTGTGTCTTCCTCATCTCCATCTTCCCTCCCTTTTCTGTCATTCAGGACGGGATTTCGGCCAGGACCACATGTTGGGCAACCGCGGCGGAAGACTGGATCCTACGGCAGCAGATGTACCTCATGGCCTGTGCGCTTTTGGTTTCGATGGGTCCTTAGCGATAACACTGGCTCTCCACTTCTCGTTCCAAGTCGTTCCAACGGCTTCATCTCAAGCGTTCATTGTGTGTATTCGAGTCCTTGTGTGGTCCATCGCTTTGGTTCAAATCCAGATGAAGTAAATCTTGTGGACCGCTTTCACTCGCAAACTCACGTTTCTCTGCGAATCTCGCGCATGGAATTCAGTTGAAGCCACATTTCAGTTTGTTGCCCTCCTTTGCATCGCATAAGGTGGATGTGTTGTAAAAACACTGTCCTGCCTTAGAATAACTTGCATGCGCTGTGCGAAGACATTGATGGAGGAAAGTGACGGATGCTCCTCCCCCACTACAATAAGAACAAGGGTCTCCGTCTGGTCTCCGTCTTTCGCAACGTCTGAATCTATTGTGAAGGTTCGGTAGACAACCACCAGGACCAGGGGTCCCACTGTGCAGAGTACAATTGCGATGAGGGTCCCGTTGTTGTTCGGAGAGGGCGTGGGGGCATGGCAGAGGTCCGTAGTCATGATATATTCGCCCCAGTTGGTGTGGAATTGTTGACTGTGGAGAGTCATCCACAGATTGGTCAGCGGTCGCCCTAGTATCGTGGGAACGGGCTTCTTTAGCTTGATTTCGCTGCACGGCTGGATGCGTGCGACGGGAAATGCCAAGCTTGTGGCAAGACGTGTAGGAAAGCATGAGACGACGAAGACGGCGCGCAGCAGGTGGCGTTGCTTCGTTGGCCGTGACGTCAGTAGAAGAGCGAGGCTCGTTCGAGGAATTTGAAGGGGGTGGTGTTCCCTCACCTTCAATGTCAAAGTGGTTAGTGGAACGTGGATGCTCCATTTTACGTAGTCGAGAGTACGCGCTGACTGTAGTTTAGTGGGTGCACACTTGTAATTAGGTGTGGGGCACGCAGGTTCAATTAGCTGCCTCTAGCCTCAAAGAAAAATGCGTAAGTCGCGGATGCGCTGCGTTCTTATAGCAAGTTCGTGTTGAGAATGCCCATGTTGCTGGTTTGTACCATGCGGAGTGATTGGGGCGCATGCTTCAGGCGAAGCCAAAAAAACCACGTAGAAAGAAATAATTCGATGATGATGGTCGTGAGCGTGATGCGTAACGTGGCTGCAAAGAAATGACAAATCCGTGTTGTTGGACTTACTGATTTAATGAGAGAGGACTACTGAGGCTGAGAGAAGCGACGCGAGTGTACTGTTAAACTGAACTGAACGACGCTCAGCTAGCGGCATTCCAATACACCACCAGTGGGAGAGCATTTCATCGTACGGTTTTAGCGACAGTCGCTCCATTCTTGTATCGCAGACGTTTTTGAAACGTGTATTCTCGACGTTGCGGCTTACTCCAATATCTGAGGAGGATAAACCTCAGAAGGTAAGCCCACGGTGCTGATCTCGGCAGTGCAAGGGCATTGGTCGTTCACATTCCTTGTCGTGTTGGTTCGAGATGGACAATTTGGCTCTGTGCTACTCGTTTCTTCTTAGTGAGGACAAGCCTGGAGCCAATCGTAACAAAATCCCTAACAAGCGAAACTCGACATATTCGGGCCAAAGAGAAAAATCTCCCCTCCGATACCGAATCCTCCCTGGCTTGAGAGTATAGGTCACTCTAGGCAGTCTCTCCTCTGTCGTGTGATAGTGTCTGAGGGGCTGGCAACGGGTATATTTCTTTCTTTTCTTTGTCTTCTTCATTGTCTTGTTTTTCACTCAGTCTTATTTTTGTCACTATTGATTCCCTGTTACGTATCTGTAGGATAGTCTGTAACCCATCTGTAAGATAGTCTGTAACATATCTGTACGATTGTATCATTTGGTCTCATTTTTCTGTTTTCGAATCGGTAATTCTTTCCGCGAGTCACCACCACTACTCCGAATGGGATCCGAATCTATGAACAAACTGTGGTGTGGCTTTTGACAGCATGATTAAAACGTTGCCTCATGTGTCTCGATACGGAATTCCTTCCCCCTTTCAGTTTCGGTCTCTCTGCCAACCCATACGCTTGCTACAACAAAACGTACGTTTAGCAAAATGTCTCCATCTCAGTTGTTCGATTTTTTTGTCAGTTTTCTGACGGAATCCAGCATGAGAGCATCCTACGTCAACTCCACGGCCCCAGCCCTCCTTTATTTTCTCTATGTTTTTATATTCATTGCATCCATCTCCGTCCTTAAGAGGCTGCGATGGATTGCACTGGTTTCGTTCATATTTTTCGCTGTTCGTTCTGCGTTCATTTTGTTCCTATTTTTATTAACTCCATCAATGCCTCTGCAGAACGGTTCAACTC